CTTATATAAAACTATATAATAAAACGAGTAAGCGTTAATATTAATATAGATTTTAAATTTAAAAATAAGAGCTTATTATACGTATTTAAAAACTAAATATAATTTAGCTTAGGAGTTATAAATTTTTATAATAATATTGTATTTTATTTAATTAGTTCTAAACTTATTATAAAAAGATTTATAATACGTAAAGTAGAGTTTATCTTAGCTAATAATATAAGCTTATTAGCAAATTTATATATAGAGATATTTTTATTATACCCTTTAGTATAATAAGTAACTTTTAGTATATTAAAAAAATTTAATTATTATTATATAATTACGAGCTATTTTAGTATTTATTATTACTAAAGCTTATTATATTTATAAATTATTAATAATTTAGTAAGTATAATTATAAATCTTTTAAATTAAGCTAATAAAGAATATTCTTATTATTTAAGTATTATTAGAAAAAGAGCTCTTAAATATAAATAAGTAAGTTCTTAAAAAGACCGTATACTTTTTACGTTATAAGTTCTATCTTATAAATTAGCGTTTAAATATTCGCTTTATAATTTGAGTAGTTTAAATATTCGCTTTATAATTTGAGTATTAAATAATTTAAAAATATATATAATAATAATATTATAAGTCTAATTATTCTTTAGTTTTATAATAATTATTATTTAAAATAGTAAAAGATTAATATGCGGTCGTAGTATTTTAAAAAGTTAGTAGTAATATATAAAGTAAAAAAAAGAATTTTAAATAAAGGGAAAAGGTTTATATATAATTATAATAATATATAGGGTATTTTTATATATAAGGTTTTATAAATATATATGCGAATTATAAACGTTTATAATAAATTTATAACGTTAAAAATTATAAAACGAAGTATTATAACGCTATATAATTAATAAGGTTTTTATATTTTTATTAAAAATATATAAACCGGTAGAACTTTATATAGCTAGTTATAGTTTTAAATAGACTAAACTAAGTATGTATATTTTAATTTAGGGTAATAAGTATTATACGTACGTATAGGAGCCTTATTACCTAGGTATTAAGCTTAACTTTATTATATCTTAATATATATTTATAAAACTCTATATATAATATTATATAAGGGTAAATTAAGTTAACCCTATTTAAAATCTATTTAAGTTAATAACTATTTTTATAGCGTTATATAAAGCTATATATACATTTATTATTTTTATAATATTATTAGTAACGTTTTTAAGGGCCTCTATTATTATATAAAGGTATTTAGGGGATATTATTAAAACTTTATTAAGGTATTAATAACTCTTTTATTATACTATTTAATAGTATACGAATGCTTAGTAATCTTAATAAGTATTATACAGGTTAGTATACTTAATTAGTTTATTATAAATAAATATTAAAAAATATAAATAATATATATATAATAATAATATAGTAATTAGCGAATACTTATGAGCGTTATTAATATAGTTATAATTATTATAACTTTTATTAAATAATATTATATAGTTAGTAAAAATACTTTTACTTTTTATAATAAGTATACGAGGTCGTAGTGGATTATATAACTCCGTATATTATAATTTAAATAGTATTAGTATATTATAAGTAGCTTATATTTATATCTAGGGTATAATATAACCTTTTTAATAATTATAAGTAGCTTATATTTATATCTAGTATAATATAACCTTTTTAATAATCTTTAAATTAAGCTTAATTTAATAAGGGCTAGAATATATAAATTAGTAAAACATTATAGGAATTATAAAATAGTATATAACTTATTTTAGTAATATTAAGATTAATAAATTTATAGAACGTAATTAAAAGGTTAGATAAGGAGCTTATAAATAAATAAAAAATTATATAATTAAAAAGTTATTATATAGGGTATACGTATTTAAAAAATAAGTAGTTATTTTTATAAATATAAGGTCGTTAGGTACTTTTAAGTTAATATACGAGAGCTTTTAGTAACTCTTTATTATAAATAGCGGTTAGAACGTTATATTTAGTTATTATTATAAGTATTATATAATATATAAGAATATAAAGAATTATTAAGTCTTATACAAAATTGTTAATATATATACTTAAGTAATTATTATAAGTAATTTTATTAAAATAATATAAATAAAAGATATTAAATTTTAAATAAAATAAATATACATAATTATACTTATAATTACGTATACTTAGCTTAATTAAATTTATAATTACTAATTTTTAAAAATAATATTATAAACTATATAATTAATTTACATAATTATACTTAATTATATAAAGTAACTAATTAATATTTTTAATTAGTAAATTATGAATATTTATATTTATAATTACGTATATAATTAGGTAATTATATTATAAATAAAATAAAAAGAATAAAAAGAAAAGTAATATAATATAATAATATTATATAATATAATATAATTATATATAAGTAATTAAGGGGGTATAAGCGGGCTATTTATTTTTTTTAAGGAATATTAGGTTAAGTAGAAAAAAGAGGAAAGGGATTAGTAGTAGAAATTAGTAAGGAGGTATAGACCTGGGCGCCTTATTTTAATTACTTATTAACTGCTTAACCGCCCTTACGTAACCTATAGTACTTCTAGTAGTATAGAATTACTTACCGTATTATATAAGATTAATGATTTTATTTATTTATAAGTATAGTATATTAGTATATTTGATTATACGCCTACCGTAGGTCTATTAGCAAAAGGTGTTTTGGCGGAGTGCCTCTTGCAGTCTGCCGTATCTCTGTCACCGGTCCCCGCAATGTCACCCAGCCCCGCGCGGCAATGTGGACCTTATCGACATATTACTGGTGCCTTATCATCGGAAGCCTGGCCCTCGCCATCAGGATATCGGGTAATTGGCTCGAGTCGCATCTACGGACGCTGTTTGCTATAAGACGTTACTGAGCCAAGGCGAGGTGCTCTTGAGAGAGGTTGCGGGCACTAGTGTCAACTTACACAACTTGGAAGCACGCTTTGACTGGGCTTGCAGTGTATACTCCGCTGTCAGTCTCATGACCCGCGCTTGGCCTCCATCATGATGCACTCTGGAGTTGGCTTCCCGGCGGCTCTGTCGATTATCCTTGTGCTCGCTCATGGTGTTTCTGCAGGACCAACGGTGAATTTGCTGAACGGCTCCTACGAGGGCTTGTCTCTTCCCGGCTATCAGCAAGATGTTTTCCTTGGCGTTCCATACGCACAGCCTCCTACTGGCAACCTCCGCTTCAAGGCACCTCAAAGCATCAATTCAACGTGGAATGGCACTCGCCCTGCGACAGAGTACGGAGACGTTTGCATGCAATACACCGTGAGCGCATGCCTGTCTGTCAACCTCTCGGCTTGAGCCATCGGTACTGACCAAACCTCTAGGCTCCTCCTAGCCACCCAATGTCTGAAGACTGTCTCTCACTCAACGTCATCCGCCCGAGCAGCATCGACAGCATTGAACCCCTTCCTGTAGCTGTGTGGATTCATGGGTGAGTTTCACAATATTCCACCAGAATCTTGCCTAAACAATGATGAACTAATTTGCCACCGTAGCGGCGGCCTATACGCAGGTTCGTCCAGAGACAACAACCTCACAAACTTTGTGGACCAGGCCTCTGTAGCACAGAAGCCACTCATAGCCGTCTCCATCAATTACAGGCTTTCGGCGTTTGGGTTCCTCTGGGGGTCTGACGAGGTGAAAGCCAACGGCAGCGCCAACAACGGTCTGCGGGACCAGCGCCTGGCCCTCCACTGGATCCAAGAAAATATTGCCTTCTTCGGCGGCGACCCGCGTCGTGTTACAATCTTTGGTCAAAGCGCTGGAGGCTTGTCTGTCGGCAAACAACTCATTGCCTACGGAGGCAGAGATGACGGTCTGTTCCAAGGCGGGATCATGCAGAGTGGCGGCATGGCCGAGAAGTGGCCCTATAACGTGAAGGACCCAGCTGCCTACACCCAAGATCTCTACCGGAACCTGACAGACACGACTTCTTGCTCCGAAGCAGCCAGTCCACTCGAATGTCTCCGCAACTTGCCCGTGGAGGTCATTTCCGCCGCCCTGAACGTGAGCGCCACGCCAGTCTTCTCGGGCACAGGTCTTGGTCCCTGGCTCACTCAGGTCGATGGTGACTTCCTCCAAGACGGGCCAACTGCGTCTCTCGAAAAGGGCCACTTCGTCCATGTGCCAATCATGTACTCCACCACTACCGACGAGGCAACCGTCTTTATGTTTGGTGGGAAGTTGGACACGGATGACGACTTTAGCGCTCTGGTCGCAGCAGGGGGTCCAGATAACTCCACTGTCTTTGCTATTGAGCGACTGTATCCCAACACCAACGATACTGGGCTTCCGGCCGGGTACAGTCCGACTGCTGAAGATAACCAGCTATACGGATCTCAGTGGAAACGCGGAGTCGAGTTCCATACTGATGTCGTTGAGACCACTTCCAGGCGTATGACGCTGAAGGCCTGGGCCGCTGCTGGCGTGGAAGCCTATTCAGCTCGCGTCAACCTGTTGCCTCCAAGCACCAGTCCTCGCCTGGGATCTCACCATTCCATGGATGTCTCTTTCATATTTGATGCCCTTGACGGAGAAACACAGAGCGAGTTACAGTTCACGACCGCGTCGAAGCTCATGGGTAGAACATGGGCGTCTTTCGTATCGGATCTCAACCCGAATAATCATGGAGGTATGCTAGGCTTCTTCCTCACTCGCAAACCCTGATCATCTGCTAACGCGATTCATGTCAGTCCCCAATACACCTACGTGGCCTGCGTGGACTGCCGGGAAGTCGAATAAGACCGGCTCTAATTTCGTTTTCAACGCTAATAGCGATCCATCGTCTATTTCATTCATCGAAGTGGATGATTATCGTCTGCGGCAGACAACGTACTTGGCGAGTGTCATGCAGAGTCAAATGTACTACTAAAAGAGTGAGCAGTTGCAGTCATTAGGCACCATTAGCTGGAAGATTAAAAATGTGGGTGATTGAATTATAAGGTAATGTGATAATATCTAGTTCCCGAATCATATTCTAGAAGAACCTCTGCTTCCATCTGTTCCACATCTACCACTACCTGACGCCACATGCTCAGCTCATATGAATCAGCCATGAATCCAGGGAGGACCATTGCGCAGAGAAACTTGGTTCCCCTCGTCGAAGTAAAGCCTGACCGGTTGACCAAGTCACCAGTCAGATCCCTCACAGTTGGTCCGACAGCCAATTGAGGACAAAGAATGACAAGCATGTTCAGCCCAGGAAGGCCCATGGGAAACGTCGAAGGTGGACTCCAGCGCACAACCATTCCAGGTCGTATGCGCTCTTTGAAAGGGACGTCATTTGCCTTGGTGTCCGGGTCTACGCTAGAGGACAGCATTTCCTGGTTCAGGGCTGTCTTACGGCTCTTCCCCTCGACAGGCTCCGCTTCGCTCTTGCTTTCCGTCTTCTTCCCACCCGACTTTTGCGAATCGATATGCAAACGCCAAAATTTGGCATGAAAGGCACGAGCTTGATCTTCATCAACTCCTGGACTCTTCAAGCAGCGGGTGAGAAATTCGGGCGTCGGAAGGCGGAGCAGCAGCGAACCAGTCTCGGTGGGCGCGACCAGCTCGCCAGAAATGGCAGGGTTTCCAGACTTCAACATGTTAGCTTGTTTTAGTGGTCGGTCGCGAGAATGGACTCACGTTGGTATCGATCCAGGTCCTTAACCGTTCATTGTCCCAAGTCGCAGGCGTCTCGGGGTCATAGGACTGAGCCTTGGCCTTGGGAAGCAACACCCGCAACATCTCGGCGTATTTCAAGGTGTTTTTGCCAGCGCCAGTATCTGGGAGACTGGGATTGACACAGGCAAGCACGACAGTCTTGCAGCTACGTCTCCCCGCGGGATCAAAGACGTGCTTCAGAATCTTGGTGAGGGAACTCTGCCGGAATGGTATATACGTCGGGCTCTTTGTCTTGCCCGTCAGAGAAGCCACGTCGACGGTTGCTCTGCCCCTGATACAGTCCTTCAGCACCGAGAGGCTGGTGTTGATCTCCCGGGCCTCTTTCATGCGGTCGGGTGTGTGGTTGGCAATGTCCCGGGCGGCTTCTGAGCCTGCCAGGTCGATAAGGTAGAGGAGTCCGTCCTCGGCTGTTGGTATAGGACTTTCGATACGGATGCGACAAATGGCGTGAGAGCGAGATGATGCGTCATTCTTGAACGTTGATGCTGTACGGCGGAAGGTTGCTGCCCTTTCTATGAGCTCAAGCAGGGTGGCTGCTTCGGTGATTTCGTGTTCCAGGACGCCGGCAAGCTGTGTGACACCGAAAGAATCTTCCAAAACGGAGATTGGTTTTCGAGAGTTCAGGAGGTCTAGAACATCATGTTAGGCGAAATAAGTAAGGAGAGAGGTAATCCGACATGCCAAAAGAAGAGTTGCCAGCCAGCTCAATTATGCATGCATATACTTTCCGCTCTCCCTCCATACCGCCGCCCATGAGCGACTTTGCGACCAGCTGTTCAATCTCGCTGACTGTGTAGGTTTTGCCAGAGCCAGTCTGGCCATAGGCGAACACGGTGCTGACGCCGCCGCTCCATGCCCAAGGAACCAAAGGCTCAACCAGATCTCGATAAATCTGCTCGGATGTATCATCTGGGCCATAGGCTTTATCGAGCTGAACTGAAGTTGTCTATCGAAACGTGTCAATTCAGATCACGATGTTTGAAGCTGTGGGGAGCAGGTTGTTGCTTACCGTAAGCGTGGGAGGTCCCAGGGGCTTGATGTGCTTTCGGATTTGGTGGATGTCTACGGCGCCGTTACCGCTGGGCCTCTGGAAGACGCCACGGATAAGGCCTGCGGACACTTCGTCCTCCAAAATTGGCCGAAGTCGAGCTGCCACGATCATGTCCGGGTTCGAGGTGGTGTTCGGGTCCTGTGCACCGGCCAAGTCTTTCTTGGCTGCTTTGGCGCTGAAGGCTTCAACGGAGGCCTGGTACCAAGGCGTATGTTTGATGTGATATTCGTCCATGGCGACTGATGTGCAGCGTCAATCGTGTACTGTAAAATTAGAAGAATAACCAGTGAAACTCTTTAGCTTTAAAAATATTTCACATTGTATTTGAGACTTTCGACGGGGACTTATATCTCGTGAAGTTCAGTCTTCTTCACTCATCGTTAGAGTGCTCGCATCTCGTCTCAGTGGGTCTTCTGTGCTGGTGTGCTGAATCCGGAAGGGAAACGAGGGGTGAGGAGCACTCCGGCCTCTAAAAGTCGCTGCCTGGATTCTGTCGCCCAAGCAACCAGGCAGACGACTTGCAAATATTGCGGTGAAACAACAAAATCTTTCATCTTGGAAACTTGTACGGAAGCTTTGGGTATTGACATAAGGTAAGGAGAACGGATCAGGTACTTAGGTACATTATGCTGCATTGATAGATGCCTAGTCAAGGCTTCCATATTCCGCACGCCATAATACACCTTTACAGCAAATATTACCCGGTCCCTACTCCAAACACAGATGCCTAAATCAATAAACTTTTCATTGGCCATGAACAAATACTCGGGTGATTAGAGTATAACATCTATACATAGAAAATTAGCTACGATATCCACTTCAGCATTATCATCCTTCGGATCGCCATCCATCATATCTGATTGCCAGAATTATTCACAGATTGTCTCTTCGGCCCTCTGGCAAAGGTGAAGGTTCTTGGCGACAGAGTCTTGACATTGCCCTCAGCGTCTTTCGCCGGCGGCATGTACTCTGTAGTGATGGCAACTTCTACATCCTTTCGGATATCAGTATTTTTGCGCCGGTTGCTGTGACTTCTCCGGACGCTCTTCGATCTCGTAGTTCCGCTAATACTATCGGCATGGGGATCACCCCAGGTCTTGACGTCTTGCATCTTGTACTCGTTCACCATGCGCTCTTCACTCTCGTTGAAGGTGATATTTGTGATTGGGTACGCTGAAGGGGGTCCGCGACCCCGCCAGCTTTGGTTGCTACCGGCCCCGAAAGTGCGTATTTCTTTCGGTGTCGCATCGGTGAGCTTCTGGGATGATCGGAGCGAAGTAAGAAGAGAGCCAAAGACGGGCCCCAGCCATAACTTGATGATCGAGAACACCATAGGCAAGTTTGCGGTGATGACGGCGACGAATGTCTCACGAACAGCCCATGATCCGGCGAGCTGTGCACCGTTCTGGGGGTCCTGGGTAGGAAAAGATAAGTAGGAGTTCGGATGGAACAGCAAATCGGGAAACTCACTGTGACAATCAAGATACAACGCAGGGTTGCGCAGACAACAACAAACAGTCCACCGCTAAAGAGAAACAGCAAACCCCATTTCTTGATAGGTTTGAGCCTCGCTTGCCACAGCATCGGCAAAGGGATAGACAAGAGGTAAAGATCCGTAGACACGTTGAAAGCCAAATAAACCCAAACAACTTGGTTGGAAATGGCTGGTTGGCAAACGTCTGTGAGATATTAGTCATGTCAGCATAGGCTTCGTGCACAGAGGTGCGGCTTAAGAGAAATCTTACTCCCCGGGTCAGGATTGATCTGCCAGTTCTTGTGAAAGGGGCGACAAGCGAGGAAGAGATTCATGATGACTACGATCCAACTGACGGCTAGAAACCCGAAACCAAAGTAGATGCGAAGCCGGTAGCCACGACCCAGGCCGGCCTTGAATAGTCAATAACCGGCGGAGTTAAACGGATGATCCGAGTTGAACACTTACAGTCAGCCGTAGGTAGAACACCAGCAATGATGCCTTAAGTGACCACAATAAGACCGAGTAACTTGACCATCCACACAGCTGTATAATGGAACCAATCACCCTGGAATAGATTTAGATAAGTAAGACGATTCATCAAGAGTGCGATATTCTTACCTCAGTTGATACTCCTCGCTGTCTGGGGATAGAGCTGCTCGTTGCTCATCCGTCATGGCATTATTCGCCATACCCTTCGCGACTGCCCCGACAGAATGCGCCAGCGCGGTCTCAATGGCATAGAATATCTGTAGGCACCATTGGATGTCAACTTTCATGGTATTTTAGGCATGCAGACAAAGCCAGAAGCACTAACCGCACCGACCCAAACAAGATAGTCATCCGCTTGGAGACCTTTGAAGCCTACGGACCTGATCCTAGCGTAGGTCCTTAACATGGTAAAAAGAATGCCAATTATCAATAGGGTCCACGCCTCTATTGTGAATGACTGCATAGCTGCTTGAGCAGCAGCAGCAGCGGCCTCCGCCGCGGCGGGGTCCATGGCGGCTGGTGACGACATACCGGAGTCGGATACTGTAAAAGAAAGACTCGGAAGAGATGAGATGCAAACAAAAGAGTAAACGAGATAACCCGGCCAAAGATTCAGGAGGGGCCTGGAAAGACATGCAGGTTCCCGGGGTGCCTACTTTGTATAATCTTTCGCCAGAACCCCCATTCTGGACGGAGCCCTCACTCGATTTGATCGACACTTGTCAAGCCCGAAAGACCGGCGCCGATCCACACCCATGGCAGTGGTTGAGCTCCATCCTCGCTGATACCCTCCAGCTGTGCCACCAGGAGAATGTTTGAGGTTTCCTCGACGTTGATTACATGTGCCGGATACGGCAACGGATGAAATCGTAAGGCCGAAGCGTTTCAAAGGCCCACGTGCTTGGTGTGCGAAGGAAAGGTGGTGGCAGGTTCTGAATTGTCCAAACAACACAAACTTGAGAGTGTGCCTATAGTCAACAAATTCAAATTGACTTGGTGGTAATTGGTGTTCAGCAAACAAAACCTGATGCTCCTGATTGATCATCCCCGGGGCACAGCAAAAGAAAGAAGCAAGAACTTCGTTTGCATTCTTTCAACAATGCTGTGACTGTGCTACCCGTGGAAAGGGGTACCCGAGGACGCGGTAAATGACAAAGAATTTTTCGGCATATCAAGCTGTCGTGCTTATCACACCATTATGATGTTGGTTTGCCGTTACATCCACGGCGCAGTTCTTCGCCATTTGTAGGTGCCTACAATTGGTCGCGCATCTGAGCATCATGCCATTGAAATTTTCAGTTAAGCTAACAAAGGGTTCAGTGTACCCTGAACTTGAGAGAGTTTTGAAGGATTGAGGATTACAACCTTGCCCTCCCTGCTCTCAGGGACCTAGGAGTAACGCAGGCGCCGTATGTGGCACGAGACAAGAGACTCGATTTATGACCGGTCACCGAAGTTCGGACTTGCTGCGGTTCTGGAGATTGCGTATATGCTGAATAATTCCTTGATGCTACGCCGAGTCGGCCAACTGCATGTTGATAAACAGGGGTATTCTGTCATCCGAACCCTTCGGTCAACGGCTGACTCGTTCATGGCGTGTGTCTGTATAAATGGTAGCATCTGAGCGTTGAATATGGCACAACTTTTGGCGCGCACATATGTAAGCCCTTGTCCATAAGAGTTCGTCAGGACCAATGTCTGGTTGGTTCAATATTTTGACAGCTCCTGATCCATAAACCGTTGCATGTACGAGTAGCCCCGAGCAGAACATCCAATCACTAATGCAGCCGCGGGGAACCTGGAGGGATTCCCGACTTCCCCGATTAACACTACTCGTACTCGCCCATCGCTATACGTAATCCCCAATGTAACCCTAAAGGAAATTGATAAAACCAACATGCATCGCAGTTGTCGTCCGTTGGGAGTGGACCCGGGGTTGGTTCTTCAGAGTTTAATAAACACTTTTACAGCCAAGCCTGCACTCAAACACAAAGTTAGGGGCTCCTAACCCTGCCATCACTTCTTAATCTGGAATATCCTCGCAAACGGGGTATTTCCGCACGCAGCATCACCTTCCAAACAAAGAAGATCGGCAGGACATGGGATCCCGGGGAACCATCCCGTTGTCGTCTCATTCTAAATTGGCGGCCGTTGGCGGACTACATTCCGTTAGTCGCTCCTGAGTCGTGCCTTAAGCAGAGGTTCATCAACTTTACTTCCCCGGCGCGTCCCCGATTGTTTCGGCATTGATCACACAAGTCTCTCGGGTTCAGATTCACGGCTGACAAGATGGAAAAGTTTGACTGCATTGTGGTTGGCGCAGGTAACCTATCCCAAGCCTCCGGGTTTACATGTCTCCATGTAGATAGCCTTCTCTTCGAGAATCAATGGAGTGACACAATTCCATAGACTGACATGGCATTCAGGATGGTATGGCCTGGCAGCCGCAAAGCAGTATCACTGCACGCAGCCAGGGTCTTCGTTGGTTGTCTTCGACTCTCAGCCCACGCTCGGTGGCACTTGGGCAAAAGAGCGCTTATACCCGGGTTTGAAAAGCAACAACATGCTGGGGACCTATGAATACCCTGACTTTCCCATGGACAGTAAGAGATTCAACATCAAGCCAGGGCAGCATATTCCAGGCGAAACTATCAGCGTCTATCTCAAAGCATATGCCGACGAGTTTGGCATTACCGACAAGATCCGATCGTGCCACAAGGTCATTGTGGCAGAACATCAAGAAATCAGTGAAGGTGGCTGGTTCCTGACAGTCGCGGACTCTAAAGATGAAAAAGTCCGTGTGTTTGCTCGACGTCTGATCATTGCGACTGGCTTGACGTCGGAACCGTGGCTGCCCCATTTCGATGGTCAAGAGTCTTTCGGCGGTCGCATTTTTCACGGCAAGTACTTCCAGCAGAATGCGGATACTCTGGAGACGGCCAAGACCGTGACAATCTTTGGCGGCACGAAATTTGCATGGGATGCCGTTTATTCGTATGCAACTGCTGGCGTGAAGGTGAATTGGGTCATCCGCTGTAAGTCTACTTCAGGCCGAGATCTAGACACCAACTCATTCACTCATAGCGACGGGACATGGACCTTGCTGGATGGCACCCCCTTATGTCACTCCACTCAAAAAGTGGTTGGAAAAGCTTGCTAGTCAGTAAATCTCTGCTTCTCTCTCAACATGTTCTGAGCTAAGGATACCTCACACTAGACACAAGAATGTTGACCTGGTTCAGCCCTTGTTTGTGGGGAAATGCTGATGGCTACATTGGCACGCGTCACTTTCTCCATGGAACTGCCATTGGGAGATCAATCGTCGATACTTTCTGGAAAGTACTCGGAGGCGATGTGATGACGCTTAACGCATACGACTCCCATCCGGACACGGCAAAGTTGAAGCCGTGGACAGAGGCCATGTTCACAGGCACCAGCTTCAGCATCCTCAACTATGACACCAACTTCTTTGACTTGGTCAAAGAAGGCAAGGTCAAAGTCCATCTTGGGGAGATCGACCACCTCAGTTCTGGAACGGTTCATCTATCCGATGGAACCGAGTTTCCTGCCGATGTTCTGCTAGCTCACACCGGCTGGAAACACGTTCCACCGATCAAGTTCCTCCCAGAGGGAATCGAGAAGGAGCTCGGTATACCACATGCGCCTATCGACAACGCGCCTCGGGAAGATCTTGCCGGTCAGGCCGATCTTGTTGACCTAGCCGACAAGGAGATCCTGGCGCGCTTTCCAAGGCTCAAGAATCAGCCGGTATGGAACAAAGACTACGTGCCCCTGACCGATCAAAAAGGCATCAACAGCGACGACGCAGTGACTCCTTACCGAACCCTTACCCCGTACATGCTTCATCACTTCATCGTCCCGCCATCGGAACGCTTTTTACGCACACGTGACACAGCTTTCATCGGCATGGTCGGCAACTTTAGCAACGTCATCACGGCTCACGTTCAAGGCCTGTGGATCAGTGCATACTTTTCGGGTCTTCTTGCCAAAGATCCTGCAGAAGCAGTCGGCGACGACGCGGCGATGCAAAAATTGCAATACAGCACAGTCTTGATGAACCGCTTCGGTCATTGGCGTTACCCTACAGATTGGGGCTCCAACAAGTGCCCGAGCTTCGTGTTTGATGCTGTTCCTTACCTAGACCTGTTGCTGAATGACCTGGGTCTCGTGCATTACCGGAAGAAAGGATGCATGGCCGAGTGGTACTCGCCTTATGGGCCAGAAGACTACAGTAACGTCAATGAGGAATGGAAGGAGAAGTTTGGAAAGGGCAAGATTCTCAGTGCTACAGCAAGTCGGGATTGATTATCCATTGTGTAATAGCATCATAATATTTCTCGTTCAACTGCAAAGATCACGTACGATGACAGGAAGATGACATCTCTATTTTCAATCGCCGAGTGTACATGATGAACAACCCCACCAAAACACTTTCTCGACATTGTTTTGCCGTGGCTACTGCCCTGACATGAGCTACAACCACTTCAACGGGACTTCACTTAGTGTCTTCGATGCGAAGAAGGTACTTCTTAGCAGACACTTTGCCAGCTTCAAGGTCTTTGAGTGCTTTCTCCAAAGAGGCAAGGCCCTCGGGGAGAACCTCGTAAGGATGACCATTAAACCAGCCTTCCTCCAATCCCAGCCCGAAGAAGCGATAAAACACGGACCCGAACTCCTTGTCGCCTAAGGGAGAAACTGGAGTGTCATTCGAGGCATGGACAGTGCCCACCATGGTGTACAAGATCTCGGCCTTAATATCACTGGGAGAGGTCTGTAGAAAGACTGAGATCTTGCCGCCTGGGGCAAGGGCCTTTGCAACGATCCGGACTGTCTGCTCTTCGGACACGCCATCTAGAGCATTGATGATAGGCTGCCCCCCGGCTGCAAGACGAATTTGCTCAAGAACGTGATGTTCTCCCTTTCGATAGTCAATGACGACATCTCCCTTCTTCTTGTTGACCAAGGTTTCGACGTATGGGCTACCACTTCCGGCGACGGCGATGATGGGATGAATGTTGGACAGGGTCGCGAGCTTGATGGCAAAGGCACCAACAGCTGTAGCACCGCCGTTGACTAGAAGAGGCAAACTTGCCTTGGCTGGATTCCAAGGAAGCGGAAGATCGAGCTTTTGGTACAAGGCAAGAGCAGCGGTCATGGCAGCGAGTGGGATTGTGGCCGCCTCTGAAGTATGGCTTATTAGCACTCAGGTAGCTCAGCATCAGACTGGATGACGTGCAGTGACTCACCCTCAAAACTGGTCTTGTCAGGGATCAGAAAGGTCGACTGAGCCCAAGCGATGGAGTATTCAGCGTAACTTCCATGTGGGGTGTTCATCTCGTGGAAGGCCGCAACCCGGTCTCCCGTCTTGAAGCCGAGCACGCCATCACCAACAGTTTGAACAACGCCAGCAATGTCATCTCCGTGATTGAGAGGTGGGAAGTGCGAAGCCCAAACCTTCGGCACTTTCCAGTCTTTAGGATTGGTACCAGAGATGAAGGTTTTGATCAAGATCTGCCCCGGTCCCGGGGCTGGAATCGGAACATCGTGGATCTCAACCTTGAGCCTGCCGTCGAAAATCGCTTCTTTCATGGTCAACAAATATTTCGGTCGTTTTCTAATTGTGTTTTGGAAGAGATGGTAGATGATTTGATGATGTTCTGATGTTGATATCAAATGTTCAGTGTTGATTCGAGAGCGGCTGCCCTGATTTATGTACAGACAACATTCTTGACACCTTGTTAATATCAATGCAGTTCTATCTCAACACCAAGCAAGCAACTCGCGAGAACGTGACAATGCTCAGAGAACCAGATGACAAATTACGTAGTGCTCGGAGGCGGAGAGATTCTAGACAGCGCAGTCTGCCTGACTTGGAGATTCCATAACCTTGCATTCAATCGGGGAAACTGGGATCTCGAACTTGCACATCCGACGGCCAAACTTCCATCCTTCAATGATCAAACTCACTTCGATTGCTCCAACTAAGATCACGTACAGATGTTCTCGTCTTACTAGGAGCACAAGAGATTCGAAAAAGTGGATAGGTAACTCCAAATGCAAGCGTTGGGGTTGGACCCACTATGAAGTTGGAGACTTGGAGACATCGAGTTCAGGGCTTCCAGTCTTCCCGAGAGGCTTCGCTTCTCGAAAGGCGCTGCTGTTCAACGTTCGTTTTAGATGATTATTTGGGGTTTACCGTCTCTTTTCAATCTTGACAAAAGTAACCATTTTTAAACATGCCCATTGTAGGAAACGTACATATCCACCAAATCACTCCGCCTATTGACATGAGCATATCGATATTAGCACCTCCCCGCCTGCCTCCCTATTAATCTTCGGCTGTTGGCCATTAGCATGATGCTTATTCTACTTAATATTAATGAATCTATGATCTCCCCTTTCGTCATATTCCTACTTCCGTGAATTTAGTGGTAGCAGGGTTTCCTGCAGGTTACCGAGCAGACATGCTTACACCAATCCAGGATACGAGCCGACATCGAGTTTGCCTAACGGCATTGGCTGCCGCTTACCTACCGCAAACATTTTCGTTCTCGCCAATATGAGGAGCCTATGCCGGTGAACAACTGTTCTGCCAGCAAAGTCAGCTAGCAAACCAGGGCCGGGGCCGAGTCCCCGCTTACGGTCCGGGCCGTCAACGTCGCTGGGGCGAACCCCGGTAAGGCCCCACCCCGATACCCGGCCGCTTGCCCGAGTATCCCGGCATTTGGAAATTGCTGGAAAGCTCGAACTTTCTCTCCCCACCCTTCCTTAACTCTTCTCTGTTACGTCACTGACACGGCATCCTGCGGTCGCGTGCACCTTGCACGGCAGGAGAACTCGCCGCAACGTCGTAACGTGGTACGATGGAAACGCGAGGACTTTCTTCGATTCTTGAACCCTTTGGAGACGAAAAAACCCTTCACCCTATTTATGCTATGAACTATTCTCTCAGCTTTCTCCTACTCGTAAAATCATCCATTTTCTAAGTTATTCGACCATTCGCAATACTCTTTCGCGAAGCATCGCTACTTCAGCAATACTCGGGTAATGTCTCTCGCCCAGCACGTCACCCAGGCCGAAGGCTTTGACTACGAACGTCCCACAGAACAGATTGAATCAACTGGCAATGCCGAGGCCATCTTCGATACACTCAACCCATTCAATACCGAGAGTAGTATTAATGAGCCGCAATGGAGACGATTGAGCTTTGCGCCTATTGAGACTGTGCACGCCGAGAAGCCGATTGCTGCTTACAAGGTCTCTAATACCAAACGATGGGGTAAGATCCAGAGTCTGGATTCTAGATAATCTTCAACCTCGGAACTGACGCCTTGCAGTGCAAGTAGCGACTAGCATAGTGGCATGTTGGCTAGCTGCGGGCATTGTCTTCGGATTCGCTGCCCTCAAACCTGTTCTCATCGCCGAAGGCGTCTACAGCGATCTTTGCGATGCCAACGATCCGGGCGCGGTAGACAACGGCGACCACATTCCATGCACCGAGCAAGACCTCAGGTTGAACTTGTTCTTCATCGCCGCCTCCGTTACAGCAAACGTGTCTTCGCTGTTAGCCGGCTCTGTCCTTGATCGTTTTGGCAGGCGAGTTTGCTGGATCGCCTCCTGCGTATGCCTCACATTGGGCTGCATCCTTATGGCAGTCTCACGCAACTTCGCCTACTTTGACGGTTACTTTCTTGGAAACATCATGCTTGCCCTCGGTGGAACCTTTGTCTTTGTTTCCAGCTTCCAGCTCGCCAACGCATTTCCCAAGTACAGTGGACACATCATCGCACTGGTCACTGGGGCCTTTGACGCGTCGGCTGCTGTGTTCTTAATCTACCGTGCGGCATATGAAGCGACAGAAGGCAAACTCTCACTTGAGAAGTTCTTTTGCGCCTACATCGCCGTTCCATTACTAATTCTTCTGGCCGAATTCGCGTACATGCCCGTCCGGTCCTATCATTCAATTCCTCAGCTGGAACAGAAGATTGAGAAAGCTCAAGACGAGACGCACGATGTGCATGAGTCTGACGATGAAATTGACGACATCGGGCAATTGCGCAAAGTACGCAGTGCTCGGGCTGGTCGAAGGTTGTCAAAACTTGACCAGATAGAAGAAGTCGCTGGCGACACTGAGCAGCGTGAAGAGCGTGTCAAGCTGAACGAGGAGCGTCAGGAAGCCAGCGGTGTCTGGGGAGTTCTTCATGGTATTCCTGCCCACCAGCAGATTCAGAGTCCATGGTTTGTCCTCATTCTGCTCTTGACCATTGTTCAGATGTTGAGGATGAACTACTTCATCGCAACTATCCATGCGCAATACCGTTACATGCTAGGCTCCGAGGCCGCCGCCAACACCATCAACCGTTTCTTCGATATTGCCTTGCCGGTCGGTGGACTTGTGTCTACCCCCTTCATTGGTGTTCTCCTCAATAATCTCAGCGTACCGGCAATCTTTGGCGTGCTGACTGCCCTGATTGTCGCCATTGGCGTCCTCAATTGTCTACCCTTCGTGTGGGCGGGATATGCTACGGTTGTCTTATTCGTCGTTTTTCGCCCCTTGTACTACTCGACCATCTCGTAAGTCCAGTCTTGCTGTTTTCTGGCACATATGATCGTGTGCTAATCACTCTTCAAAGGGACTACGCAACGAAAGTCTTTGGTTTCGCCACCTTCGGTCGTATCTACGGTACTATCGTGTGCGTCTCAGGCCTGGTAAACTTCGCGCAATCTGGCCTGGATGCTCTTACTCACGGTTCATTGCATGGAGACCCTGCACCTGTGAACATTACACTCGGTGCATCAGGCACCATAATTGGAATTGTTCTCACAGTATTCATCGCCATCAAAGGTCGTACTTTCGTTACAGAAGATAAGCCTGAGTTGGATGCCTTAGAAGAGAGACAGAGACTACTGTCATCGGCAGGACAGAACTATGGCAGTCGCGAATGAAGGGGGTTTCTACGAAAGGATCACTTCAACCAGGAAACTTTCAACATCCGTCTGGCAGTTCAACTTAGAGGATACACAATAAACTTCGCAGGTAGAAGCCGATCAAGCATCGTGGCTTCTACCGGCTCCCTTTGAGCATTCCTAGCCTCAACTTCCACCGAGAAGTACTTTTCGCCAGCTGAGACTCTGACTTTCTTGCCTGGATGAAAAGCCCAATTGATGTGTAAGGGGCTGTATTACTCACATGATAGGTTCGGAGTCTTGTATTAACCCGTAGCAATTCTTGGCGATGGATCAGCCTCCCTCGGCCTCCGTAGTCCAGTGAAATTTCCCCATGTTTATCATTTTTCCCTATGCTTGTCGGGAACCTATTCCCGGGGTTCTTCCTACAGCATGCGATCTAGCCAGATCTGTCTATTCAGTTGAGTCTGATTGGGTCATAGCAAGATACAATGACTTTGTGCTAGGCTCCGTTAGCAGTCGGTACGCGGAACGCGTGGAATCCATAAAGAAGTGACGTTGGCCTAGAGTAATTCGCTCCTTCACGAATACGGATACGGGACGAGATCAATAGGGTTAAGAGACATGTTAAGTATCAAAGATTTCAATGCCTTCTCCGGATACAGCCACAATCTTGAGTTATCAGCTTCTACCTTACATATATTACACGTAACTTCGAACTATGAGACAGTAGGATTCTCTATCTTAACATCACACTTGTCTACAACAAATTCTACGTTCTACATCCGTCCAACATGAGGTATCGTGGCGTTGTATACGATGTTGGCCTTCACTTCACCGCAGACACCGCGTCTGTTGAGCCATTCGATCCCAAACTCGTGGCCCACGATTTGAAAGTCATCGCTACCGACCTCCACGCCAACGCCGTACGCATTGAAGGCGAATCTATCCAGCGACTCGTGGCAGCCTCCCGTATCGCCCACTCACTAGGCCTCGCAGTCTTCTTCAATCCATGGAAGATGCATGCACCCGCCGACGAAGTCCGAACTTATCTCGCCGAAGCAGCCCAAGCTGCCGAAGACCTTCGTGGCGAGGGAGTAGACATCGTCTTTGTTTCGCAATGCGAGTATACCATCTTCAACGAGGGCGTCTTTCCTGGCAAGGACCTGATGGAGCGTGTCAAGTGGATGAGCGGGCAAATGAAAGAAACGCCCGGTGGTCCCTGCATGTCATATTCGCTTCATGATGCTTGCTCAAAGCTCAACGATGTTCTTAAGTCGTTCTTACAAGTGATTCGCCCGGTTTTTCACGGCCAAGTGACGTATTCAGCAGGAATGTGGGAGTCTGTGGATTGGACGCTCTTTGACATCGTTGGCGTCGATCACTATCGTCAAGGCGAGAGCGAGAGCGACTATCTCAAGGGGTTGGAAAGGCACCGTTGCGAGAAGCCGCTTGCTGTCATGGAGTTCGGGTGTTGCGCGTATGAAGGCGCGGCCGCTCTCGGAGCCGGCGGTTTCATGCCTCTTCAAGGCACCAACCCAGACGGTACCGGCAACTTCGCGGGCGGTGTGGTACCAAAGTATTCAGAGACGGAGCAAGCTGATTAAGTCAAACCCCCCACTTCCTGGCACCCCCCTGTTTCTGGCACCCACAAAAACGATGGGATCACAACCCAACCTCCTCATTACTATTAACTATTGATCCTCAACCACACCCACTACAATACAACTGCCAGCCTCACTAGGGCATTCAGAGTCGCTGGATTCAGCCGTAATAACCTCCTTTTCACCCGCTTCGATTTGAGCCCGATGGATATCCCTGATGTTCGCAAACTTCGTGTTGGGATCGATCTGAACAGTCTTCCTCTTCCTAACTGCAGCGTTGGTAACTTGAGCCTCAGGTGAGCCAGCTGCTGGGCAGCTGCCAGTTGCCAGGCCTGCTCTGTGAAGCCTTTTTCACCTTCCTGAACAGCAGCCGTTGAGTGCTGGTATCATTGTCGAGTTGGGTGTATAGTGCAGTTGACCGCTGAGCTCTGCCAGCTTCCTGGGTGTCGACCAGACCACTGCAGAGGAAGCAGAATCCCATGGCTCAACAGGGTAGTTTGTTGACCATTATGGCATCGCTTTTTGCCCCGACTGGTTGGTTTGGGTGTGGGGGCAGCAGAAGGTAATACCATAGGGTTCATCAGGGGCTTAACCATCGCTACAGGGTGTAGACCAGTCCACTTCCAACCACTTCTGATGTTCGAGACTGATAGACCAGCAAGTCGAGCCTTCTGGTAACAGTCCAGGAAGTTCCTTTACCTATAATGGTAGAGTCGTTCCATTGAGACAAGTAACCGAGCTCCTTCCGATAGGCTGACTTAACAGGGCTGAAGACAGACTGGTCAAGTGGCTGGAGGACATGAGAGGAGTGTGGTGGTAAGATAAGAACAGTAAATGGATATTGTTAATATAGCAATTCCACATGAAGTCTGTCGTCGTATGACTCCCATGCCCATCCACAATCAACAGTCGAGCCTCGCCCTCAGCCCTCGGGCATAGTCTGTGGGATAAACACTTCTCTAACCATTCAATGGCAGTTAAGTCTGTAGTCCAGCCATTATCTGTTGCTGTAAACTCCCACCCATCGTATGGAACCAGATGTAATGGAAACCACTGTTGTTGGACCGTCTTCCCTTGAAAATGATAAGAGGACGAAGTGCCCTACCCAAGGCTGAGATACACTCAATGATAGAGACCCATGCCCTCGACCCAGGTTGTTTCTTGCGAACAGACGTCGTCTCAGCCATGCCCAGCACTAACCCATTAGCTCCCTGACCTCGAGGATGCCAGTCTCATCCATATTATATCTGTTGGCTGGTTTGATGTCCTTGATCTCAGGGATAGCAAGGAACTTAAACCAGTTCCTAATGACCTCAGTAGATGCCCCATTAACGCGTCTAGAATCGATGGAACGACTTCTCTGAACCTTAATGATAGGGTTCCTTCTCACGAAGGCATAGATCCAGCCTTTTCCTAATGGTTTGGTATCCCCAGCAGCAGCCAGAACTCGCTCTGCGAATTCCTTCACCTGTTGGTGCGTTGGTGCGAGGCCCAGCGAAGCCTGAATGCGAACCCATTGTGCCAGCTTACTCTCCTGGTCAGGAGACAGCCTCTGCCAGTCAGCAAAGCCACTTTCCTAGTCTGACCACCTTGAGACGTAGTTGGAGGGTTGATCGTGGTATCCCATACTCCAATGAGGCTCTCTTTGACTCTTGCCGTTTGAGATGTCCTCGAGAGCCTGACGAAGCTGATCTTCGGTATATTGAGGCATTAGATATAGAAGAAGGTATGTGCAAAAATGAGCCCATTTGGACTCGAATTGAAAATGTTGTGATAAAAGGAGGTTGTGGGCATTGCGTTGTGGTGGATTTTCGCGTTTTTTGTGCCAGAAACAGGGGTGGAAGTGGGGTTTGACTTACGTCGAGGCAGTCATCAGAATACTCTCTGGGGCGGACGTGGACGCCATTTTCGTTTACGTCTTCTCGTTCCCGACGTATCGCGCCCGTGAGGGTCTGCGGAACTTGGACATGATGTCTTTTTCGTTAGTTAAAACCTGGTCGGAGACGGATGAAAGGTCGAAAGCGATGCCACCGTGGGCACCAAAAGAGGCGTTTCGGAAAGTGGCCACTGCATATAAGCAACTTGAAAGCTCGTAGAGTGTAGAAGAAGAGTGCGTCTGGTTGGCCGTTAATGCAATGGTAGATTCACTTGCCTTTATCTAAGAATCCATCTTCGTTAACGGGAATTCTGAGCTCCGGGTACCCAAAATACAAAGTAGCGTGTCACTGAACATCTAGTGCTCTGGGCGACATGGCTAGGTCCACGTCGCAAAGACAACAAAGTACTGATGGACAGGCAATGCTTTCTTTTCTGAAGGCTACTGTGAGAAAATGGGTACGTCTTCAGAGATGACAACGTTTTCAGTCTGTCTGTTCGAATGAACACTTAAGAGAAATTGCAAATGAGAGTACTAAAGTGATAGCGAGCGAGATGCACCGATTCCGCGATGGCTTGTAGCCTGGCCCCCTACTACGCATGCAGCAGTTGGGGTACCCCAACTCAATGGGGACAGCAGCCCCTCAAAGGTCGGTGGGGTAGAAGGTATTACTGCCCCAATGCCGTTTGTAATAACCCGGAGACCCTTCGTGGCAAAGCCCATGGAGTCTATGCTCGTCATAGCAATATTGCACAGGATCATCATGTCATCAGTGAGATAATTCACTGTCCATCAAGATGTTGTCGAATTATCTGACTTATCACCTAAAGTTTCATGTTTGGTTGATGCCGGTTGGTGGCCACTGGAATGGGGCAGATTACAAGAGTCATCCGTTCTGGTCTTGGTACTTTGGTCTGATGGCCCTGAACTAAGTTCCTATCTAATGATATGAGCAAACTACACACGCCGATGGCACATCATTGCATAGGTAATCAACATGATTACAAATGGCCTGACAATGCTTGCGCCTTCCTCTTTCTTCACTGCCCAAGCCGACAGCCAAGTGGTGCTGCTTGCACTCCTCCTCTCTCCAGACAAGACTTTGCGGCTGCAAGAAAGCCTCTCACAGTCGCGCCAACATGTCAAAAGCTTGTCATATCTGCCATCGCAGCTTCGCTCGAGGCGAGCATCTAAGAAGACATCTGAGAACGCGTACGTGTCGCACAGCTTGCTATATCATTGACGGAGCATCTACTAATCACATCGGTCATCCTGCCCCTCAGACACGAAAGAAAAGCCGTATGAATGTCATTGTGGACAGGCCTTTGCCAGGCGGGATCTGCTTACCCGCCACGAGCGTCTCTACCACGCTATGGGGAATGCTACCACTCCACTGGCAACGTCCCCAATGACTGCAGGCCAGAACCAAAACTTGGCGGCACTCAACCCAACGACAGTCTACCATGAAGTAATGCAAGCCACTAGCCAAATGGCATTGAACGCTTCGGGGTACTTGGGAAATCAAGGCGCAGCAGCTCCGCAAGAGCTGATGCAACAGTTTCCTTATGACAACAACCCCGAGTTACTGAACCTGCCCAGTCCTATGGAAGCTATGCTTGACATCTCTGAGTTCTTCGACGCTGTCGGCCTGGACTTCCAACACGGATTCGATCTTTCCCCGTCCACAGGATTCGCTACAGAGCATTTTCGTGAATCCGAACATATAATTTCATCAGCTCCAAGCACGGGTCGGTATCAGTCAACTCCTGAAAGTCAAGAACTGGCGTCGAGTGAATCCTCACGGCTGCAAAGTATCAATCCGATCCCAGATGCTGATACCGGTGAAGGTAAGTTGCGATTACATCCTCCATTCCCTTGAGGGACTGTACGGCATCAGAGGTTCTGATGTCTCTTCGACGACTAAGATGATTTTCATGAACTGAAACCTTTGCGACAACCGTGGAAAGTGAACGAATCTCAACGAAGTCAATTCATTCAGTATCTCAACCCATACGCTGCGGCGCTAGGATCATTCAAACTTCCTTCCAGGTTATCGTTGTCAAGATACATTGCTGGTTATATTGACGGATACAACGACCACCATCCTTTCATGCATATGCCAACCTTCTGCATGAAGTACTATCGAGAGTCTCCAGAGCTAGTGTTGGCGCTCCTAGCCGTCGGTGCTCAACTTCGATATGAGACACGCAACGCTTCCGCATTGTACCGAGCTGGAAGGGCAATAATCTTGCATCGACTTGAATCAGGAGAGTTGGCAACCCAGCCTGGGGGATTATGTGGAATATCCAGGCCGTCTAACCCTCTTTCCTTGACAGGAGAAGAAGCTTATTCCTCTGCTGCAGCCTCACGCCTTGACACTATGAAAGCAATCTTGTTGTTGGCAACCTATTCTACCTGGCAAGAGGACCCTTGTCTCGTTCGAGAGTCTCTCGAGTACCCAGGCCTCCTCGCGCGGTGTCTGCGGGAGAGCGGGCTCGTAAACGATGCCTCTCACAACGACAATGACCTGGACTGGCATTCCTGGGCACGAGCCGAGTCAGACCGCAGGGCGAAGCTCGCTGCATTCTGCTTCTTGAACCTTCAAACACTAGTCTTCAACGTTCCGCCGGTCATATTGGCGAATGAGATTGATCTTTGGCTGCCAGTAACTTGTGATGAATGGCTGGCGCCTAGCGCTGCACTGTGGCTAGAGGCTCGTAGCAAGAGTCCGGCGCTCGTTCGCTTCCAAGAGGCGTTTGTCAACTTGGTCCAACCTCGCACGAAAGAATGTCCAGTTCCTTCACCCTTTGGAAATTTCGTGCTGATCCACGCGATCCTACAGCGCCTCATAGTCGCAAAACAACTCTCATTGGATCCTGCATCCCCGGGGTATGCACCCGAAGAGGTCGCAAAATTCGAGTCATCGCTGCACCGGTGGCGTGACCAGTGGTGCAAGGCTCCCGAGTCCGTTTTAGACGTTAGGCATACCAAGGGGTCTCTCTCTTGGACAGCGACGTCTTTGCTTGGGTTAGCTCATGTACGCTTGCATTTTGCTTCCAGAAGACCGCAAGAGCTTTGTTCCGGAAACCCAAAGACCATTGCAGGCAACGCTTGGGATGCTCAGCCGCCAGAACGTGGGCCTCAGCTCGTCTACGCTCTTCTGCATGCAGTTCACGCATTGAACATTCCTGTGCAACTCGGTATCGATTACTTGGCCAGCTGCCAGGCGTTCTTCTGGAGCCTGCAACACTGCTTTTGTTCCTTTGAGGCAGCAGTGTTTCTCAGTAAATGGCTGTATATGCTCGCAGAAACGCAGGATATGGGAGAGTTAGATAGTAAGTTACATTTAATCCAACGGAAATGCCGATGCCAACACTGACGCGATACGAAGTAAATGAACGCCAGATAATCAGGTGGATAGAGTGTGTTGTTAACGAGGCTTTGGCTTCGGTCGAAGCCATTGACGGTTTCGACCTGAGCACCATGGAAGACAACACCTCGCACTCTCTGGAAACTCTTGGTAATCTGGTGATCAAGTTATTCGCCAAGATGTTTGAAAGATGCAATAGTGCCTGGCCGATTATGAGGACGATCGGTCAAAGTCTACACGAATATGCGAGTCTTCTGGACGAATATGGCAAGTCGCCAAGCCATGATGAGAGAGGCATTGATGTCAGTGTGACAACACGAAGCAAATAGCACATGTCAAAGGGGAGCTGCTTCGAGCGTCATGCTGAGGTCACAGGTGTACTTTCACAATCCTCACTTTCATTGAATATATCAATTCTCAACTCAAATCATTGCCAAACGTCTCCTTGCTACAAACAATGACTAAAAGCCGAATGAGCAGTTCATTCGATAAGCTTGCCGCGATCATGCATTGATCCATATGGAAACTTTCTGACTACAGTACTAGCGGAACTATACAGAGCGTCGAGCTCCACAGGAAGGCTCGATTCATTTCCGATCCTCGGGTTGACAAGAAGTTCTGTTCTGGTCGTTGGATCCGTATTCAGCTCGGCTGGGCAAGGAAGATAGTCGGTCGCCGATACAGGTAGCTCTGTTCTAGGCTTCAGGTCTGTACTCGGCTCGTCATGGTTAGGGTAAAGATCGACCACTGGGACCACCGAGGTCACCGGAAGCTCTGTTCTAAGCGTCGGATCCTTTCTCGGCTCGTCTTGGTAAGGACTAGGGTCGATCGCTGAGGCCACTGGAAGCTCTGTTACAGTCTTTGGGTCCGAGTTCGGTTCATCTAGACAAGGAATATGGTTCGCTTCAAGTTCCTTTGTCTGAAGTGGGACATCGATAGTGTCGTTCGTTGAGCTCGGTTTATTAACAGGCGGCGGTACGAAGATTGGTCTTTCCGAACGGCCATCAATCCACATGATTGCCAGGAATGCAAGAACAGCTAAGATAATCGCAACTATTGCGGCCCCTGCAATAGCATTACTCGAGGCTTCTGTAGCCCTCGGCATCGTTGGGGGCGTTACTGTTGGGATGGCTGTGGGGATGGCTGTGGTCTTCACCGTTGGCACGAAGAAAGTCTTGACTTCCTCCGATGACCATGACACAGAACTAACACCCCTAAACCTAGTATTCAGCTTTGATCCTATTTATTCAGGACTGTAGACTTACTTCTCACGATACCAACGTTGTATTTCTTCATGGCTGCGATAAGCACCGGCGCTGGCGTTGTAATCGTCCTTCCAAGTCCACTCCGCTAGGTCGAACAAACCAAGCCCTTGGGGCCACGGATCTCGGAGAGCCCATCCTTTCAAATTCCCCACACTCTTGCTTGTGGTTCTTCCACCAACAACGATCATCTGCCGATTTCCTACTACTGCGCAGTGGTGATCCGTTCGTGGAGATACATCGTCATATTGCACCTGCCTCCAAACAAATCCCGGTAGACTCAATACGAAGACATCGCTGTATGCTCTGTTGGAGGATCCAGCTGTTCCGCCGAACAAGAATCTATCTTTGTTAACACTTTTACTGGCTCGAGACACTGGTCCATTATACTTACATCTCATATGTAGTTTTGCTCCTGAGTCCCACCAGACAGAACCACTGTCGTCTGGTCGGAGCAGATCCTGTAGTCATTTGACTATACCATTCCTTGGAGCCGGGTCCATGAACGTAATGTTGGAGATATCCATCCATTGATGGAGACTATCGCCTCCGCTCACTATTGGCTCCAAGGTCGCCATGAAGCCACCGAGGAGCACGATTATGCCATTTGGTCCAAAGTCGGGGACATAGAGTGCTCTTGCACCTCTCACTGTCCCGTAGGGAGGAAACGCGGCCCTGAAAGCGGTTGTCTCATTCGACCACAGCTTGGTATTCCAGTCGTAAACAATCATACCTGGAGTAGCTCCAGCTGGAGCTAAGTCCGCTTCGCCATTAGTCATGTTCACCTTCGTTCGAGTTCCCGCCCAGCCCCCGAACCAAAAGCCACCGTGAGGAGTACTGGCAAATGCTCCGTCCTCACTTCTCACTAGCTCTGTCAATTCTGTGGGGTTATCAGGGGTCTCTTTTATCCACTGGCCACCACCAGTACCATCGGCTTGAAACTTCCACGATCCAGTAGATAGTGATTCGTCCTTCAAGTAGAGGGTGTTGGCGGTATGTCCTCCCCATATATAAAACGAGTCGTTATCTACCCTCTCCCACAATGCTTGTCTATCCATGCCGTATGGTTCTTTCGGTATGGTTCTGATTGAAACGTTGGCGGGGGACCATGATTCCGACAGGTCGATTGAGAGGGTAGAATTGACTACGTTATCCCTCTGTCAGAGAAGCGTTGAGACACGAGAAGACAGCGTCACTAAAGTACTGACCTGGGTGAGAGCCATAGGTTTGATTGACTCCGTAATCAAAGAAAGTGTATGGTTTTCCTTCGGCGTCGAGCTGAGAGACCTCTCCGCCATCGATGTAGAGATAGTTACCGATAACAACAACTGAAGCCACATCACGTATCAGCTGATCGTTCCTTTTAGGTCCTTTACTTAGCCAAATATCCTTTAATACCATTAGATAGGCCTCTTCTAAGGAAGAGGTCTGGGTCCGGCACATCAGATATTTCCCATGCGTGGACTTCGAGGAAGAATCGAACCCCCAAAAGAAGATAGGGACTTTTCATGGAGTACGGAAACAACATATCGACTCTAGATTGCGTTAATAAAAAGTTTGTGACGCCGATGAACTGCTATCCGTATCCGTATGAATGGTTCGGAGTTGACGCAGAGAAGTTCGAGAGGTCTTTGTCAACATGGCCACAGGTCGCGACAAAAGGAGAATAGGAGACGACTCTAGTTTATCAGGGTGTATGGCAGGCTCGAAGTCGCCTGTTTTCGAGTTCTCTCGCCACGTGAACTTGGTGAAGTAGTACAACAATGCATAGCGCGGACACGGTCAAGGCTAAGACCTCCTTCTTCTCTGCGAAAAGCCTCTGGCGAGCTTGAGATTTATTCGGTGTAACCAATCCATCTTCTTCTATGCCCAATAAAGTAAAGGTCTTCAAATACATCCAGACTGGCGTTACGCTTTGTACGACTCAAGTATATAACCATTTTCGGTCCGTTCAAGGGTTATTGACGCAGTCTTCCGATCGCATTCCAACGTAGGCGGCGGTTATGCAGCCAAGACGATATTGCTATTTCGAGTTGGAAGTCGTACATGAGCATGTTAAAACACCATGATGCTGGTAATCTTGTCTTGAACCCGGTTTCGTGTAACTGGCGACAGCTTTACATGAAACTATCGGCTTATCACGTGTTCATCCTAGAAAACCATGAGCCCATCCTCTACACATACAAGGATGGGAGAAGATTCACGGTCTTTGCTTTCAGATGACGTTGACGGGACTATTTTCAATAAGTAATTAATCACCGCGATGATTTAGGCCAACCAGCCCAATTGTGTCCTTCTACCTACTATACCTACAACGAAGCAGAAAGATGTTAAGAAAACAATACAAAGTGACAGTGGTCACAGACGCACGTCCGCTAATGACTCGGCTGCGAAACGAGACCTAGCGACGACAAGTTCGGAGGCCGCTTTTTTGGTAGTATCGAGGAATGATTCCAGAAGATTGGAGGGAGCAAATGGCATTGGACACCTGCCCTCTACTTAAGATTTTATTTTCATGCCTTGAAACCACCTAAAATTCACAAACTTTAACGCCTGCAACTTCAACATGCATGAAGCCACCTACTAAACTGTCATGATGACAAGACGATCACAATCACTGAGAAACTATCCTCTGCGGATGCGTCATCGCATAATAGGTAATCAAGGAACAGCGGAAGGACATGAGCAATACTGGTCGAATAATACTCACTTGTGTGGTGAGATGAACTAGTCAAGATCGTCAGTTGACAATCGGAAGTTGGCCCCTAGTGGTCCTGTGCGCATTAATAGCAGACGTTGCGCAAAACATGGTTCAGACGACGATCAAACCGCAACTGACCGATCTATCCGTTCGGATGACACATGTCATGATCCGAACCCGATGGAGTCTGGGGAGAATTCAGCCGCAAAACGAGTAGTGATTCGGCGACGGCCGTGCTATTTCCATTGCCAAGTTTCAGGCACCTAGGGAATGACTTCAGAATTGCTGGTACTCGTCTCATGGGAAAGTGTCACGATGCCGGTGCCGGCGGGATGCTCGATTGACAGGGGATCAATGTCCACAGCTACGAAACTCTTTCAGTCGAGACTTTCAGCGAGACTGAGTATTTAAAGACTCGTTGCCTCTGGGCTAGAGGCTCTTGAATCTTCATCAATCTTTCTCTTATCAATCTACAGTGCATGCACATTCGCTTCAACGACCTGGAGTCGCATTTATTTTAAAATCTTTCTTTAATCACCAACCAAGCCAACACTCGTGACAATGGTCCGCATCACTCTCTTCGCCACTCTCGCTTGTGAGTATCCAGCCTAGCGGGCCCTCCGATCAGAGTATTGCTGCTAACTCTGACGCGACTCAGTTGCGATGACCGCCCTCGCAATCACCCCCAACAACGCCGGTGCCAAGAACGTCGGCCAGGGCAACGGAGCTCAGTTCATCACCGGAGGCTGTGTCGATAACGCTGACTGCTCTTCCGCATGCTGCGCGGATGCCAGCGGCGTCGGCGTCTGCTCGGCCGAGGCCGCGCAGTTCCAGAACGGCAAGAACGGCTGCAACTTTGTCGACCCCAATAAGGCGGCAACCATTGCTGCTGCCAAGGCTCAGGTTGCAAAGCAGGGCTTCTAAGCTGGAACGCAGGAGCCCTAGCAGCTATGATGCAGGATGAATTGAGAGGAACTTGACGCTTGGCCATACCTTGGTCTATAGCTACCTAGTACCTTGGACTATAGCGTGAGCCAGAGAATCCACATCTGTTATATTCGATGGGTTCCAGAACTGTCAATCCTGCTTAGGAGTTATGAAATCTACTGAATCGTCCAAAAAGTCTCGAAGATCTTGTGTTACTGTGATCTCATCTGCCCTCATGTCAACTTCATTCGCTTGACGTTTCACGTTTTGCTCCAAGGTCGTCATTCTTCCAGTTCTTTGGATGGCACACATCGTGCAAGTGCGTGAACGATCACGCATTGTCTTTCGGCCATCATGATATGTGCTTTCCCGTGCCGATAAGAATTCTCTGTTGGTGATTATATCTATACAAAGATGGGAAGCAACTCACTCCGAACTAATTGTGGGATTTTCCAATTGAGCCATTTAGGAAGCTGCGAGGTTTAAAATCGTTAAGCGAAGGTTCGTGCCAAGATCGTGTTATGGCTCTTAGTTGGGCATCTTGCCAAGCACTGCCTAGAACATCGCCCAGACCTGCGTGGATGTGGAACTTCCTAAACAGCAATGGACCTTTTCCACAACGGCAGACTGTGCTTACTTATATGTCAATGGCGTGACTAGTATATTTCATGGCGAGCATGAATGAATGAAGCCATGTCTGTTGTGACCCCTCATACTGCCGCGCGATGGTTGAATGCTCAACAGCCGAGTCTAAACTGGAAGTGGCAGCTGCGATGAGCTTAATGCCTTGGCGACCCAGATAAGCTTAAACGCAATAGTCCTCCTGCCCCATGCTTCTCTTCGCTCCGACGTGATGTTACCATGCACATGAACCACCATGTAATTATTTTTTGGCCCGCTGATCACTGCAACCCGGGCGACCCGGGGGCCGATGCAGATGCCTTTTCCGGTAATTCGCAGACCGGAGGCTTCTGCGGCCCAGCCCGGAAGCGCTGGTGATCCCCCGCAACTTTAGGGTATCGCCTGTTGAGTCGGTTATTCTTGCCTTTCGTCTGATATTAAGGTACCCAGTACTACCTACTTAGTTGTAAGGTACCTTATGCATGAGGCCTTCGCCAATTGCTTATACGAATCTTGGAAAGAGCGGGACAGAAACTTCGTGGAAGGTGCGACCGGTTCTCCTTCCGAAAAGGCACCTACCTGACGTTATAAATATTGCCCGTCTGCTCCACCTCGTCTACAACTTCCTTTCTTCTCCTCTTCACCCACGAGCTTTTCCCTCAAGCCGTCTGTCAAACTTTTCTTTCTCACTCATCCATCTTCAGATTCATTACCTTCCACCATCGACAGCTTAAAGGTAAACAAGGACCATCATGCGCTTCAGCACCACTCTCGCCGTCGTCGCGGCTTCCTGCGGCCTTGCCGCTGCGGCCCCCGCGACTGGCGATGTCCAGGTCAACCCCGGTCTGCGTCTCGTCAAGACCTATGATGAGGATCCCGGTACCTGGGTCACTGAGGATGAGAAGTACGAGAAGTACACATCCAAGGGCATTGGCTTCATCGATATTACCGATGTCTCCGTAAGTCATACTCAAGAAATATTCTCACATCTTTCATCAAGCGAGAGCTGATCAACCGTCCAGGATGAGGAGGTCTTGAACGCCCTCTCCACCGGCGGTAACCATCTGGTTTCCCGTCAGACTGTCGTCTACCCGACCACTCTCAGCCACGTCACCGAGGCCAACTCTCTCATCACCAGAGTCAGCAACACCAACCCTCAGACTTGGCTTCGCACCTTGACCAAGTGAGCCTTCGCGCCTGTCCCTCTTTTACCTGGTCAGAGATTCTAACAGAGATTCCAGCTTCCAAAACCGTCACTACCGCTCTACTTACGGTACCGAGGCCTCCACCTGGCTCTACAACCAGGCGGTCAGCATTGCCTCCGGCTACTCTGCCATCACCGTCTCCCGCTTCACCCACTCCTTCAACCAGCCTTCCATCATTGTCAAGTACCCCGGTACTAGCTCCAACCTGAGTAAGTCAACGATTGAGGATGAAATCATTGCTCAAGAAGACTTCCCTCCTTCTAGTGAATCTTGACTAACAACTTGTTCCAGTCATTGTTGGTGCCCACTACGATTCCACCGCTGGTTCCACCACTGCCCGCGCTCCTGGTGCCGATGACAATGGCACCGGTACTGTCAACCTGCTTGAGGCCCTGCGCGTTCTTGTCGCCGCTGGTTTCCGCCCCCAGAACACCATCGAGTTCCACTTCTATGCTGGTGAGGAGGGTGGTCTCCTTGGCTCCCAGGCTGTCTTTGCCAACTACAAATCTGCGGGCAAGCGTGTCCTCGGTATGCTGAACCAGGACATGACCGGCTACTCTCCTGGTGGCAAGGCCACTGTCTACACCGACTACGTCGACACGGCTTTCACTGCCTACGTTCGCCTTGTCACCACCCAGTACACTGGCGCTACTCCCTCCAGCTCTTCCTGCGGCTATGGTTGCTCTGACCACGCCAGTGCCCGATCCAACGGTTTCCGTAAGTCATGATTCCGCTTTCTTGTAGTGACTATGTACTAATGTGTAATCATCAGCTGCTGCCTTTGTCAACGAGGAGCCCTTCAGCACCTCCAACCCCAAGATCCACACTTCTAGCGACGTAAGTCAGGCCATTACCCCTCCATGATTCAATTATTTAACATATGTACAGACCTACGAGAGCGTTCAGTGGAACGCCATTCTCCGCCACTCGAAGCTCACGGTGGGCTTCCTCGTCGAGGCGTCTTATCTGGCTTAGGATGTCAGAGCTATCTGGTGCATCACGCCCGACCGTCGTCGCCCTTGCCCCAGGGAATCGAGCCCGGGTGAGCATCTTTGAAAGAAGACTTTGCTCTCCTACAAGCTTTTTCCCACTCCTTCAGAGTACATATTCGATCAGTGGACATTCAGCGCTAAACATGGCGTGGCTATGCTCATAGGAGCAGAAGCAATTCATCACATAGGCTGAAAGCCTTTGAAAGCATCAAGTTCTAGTGTCTACCAAAGTTCCCTTGCTGCAGTCGTGAGCCCAGTGACTCGTATCCAATAAGGAACCCCTTGCAGTCCCCATTTTCTTTGGCCCAAACAAGCAGGTCGGTCATTGAGACTCCCCTAAATGTCAGATTCGGGGTAGCTTGAGGCCGTGCCGCATGCTGACATATCATGCTCTCTCTCCTTCAAAGATCTAATGCTGACGCCCTTCTCTCAACCTGCGAACTTTGCATCAGAACAAAGACGGCATCATGCGAATTTTCTGGCATTTCAGTCTTCTTTCCATTGGTGGACTGGTCGCCAGCCAAAGGGTCGATCTCAGCAATTGCCCTTTGCTGGGACCAGCCTACCCTCTTCCAGACCTCCATAAGTCACAGGTGATCAAAGATACCAAGGAGTCATTCGCCAAACTCATCAATGATGCGATCTCAACCGGCGAAACCGAATTGGGCAAGATAAACACCGCCACTGCGTCGTTTTCAATTGGTGTGTTCTCTGCAAACTCTGATGACTTCCTCTATGAGTATCATCGTCAGGGAACCGAGCTCAACGGGACGGTAACTGGGGGCTCATTGGACTCGGACACGCTGTATCGCATCGGAAGCGTCACGAAGCTATTGACTGTGTACACTATTCTCATCAAGCTGGGCCCCACGTACTGGAACGAGCCGATCACCAAGTTCATCCCGGAGCTTGCTGACGCACCGGCAGGGCACCGGGCGCATCGGACGCAATGGTCTGAGGTGACTTTGGGAGGTTTGGCCAGCCATATGAGTGGTATCGCACGTAACAGTAAGACTACCGTCTATCTCTGTGACCATCGATAGCTCACAATTATCAGATCACTTCGTCGACCTATCTGGTATGCCTGGTATCAAGGACATGGGACTCCCTTACCTGAACGAGTCCGACATCATCAAGTGCGGTCTGCCGGAGATGCGACCTTGTACCAGAGAAGGTGGGCCACTTTCACATTTCTCTGTGGGATGATTATTACTGAACCCGTCATTTATAGAAGTCCTCAATTCATTGCTGGAGCAGTATCCCGCTACGGCAACCTGGCACACCCCAGTGTACAGCAACGAGGCCTTCCAGCTCATCGGGTGGGCATTTGAGAACATCACAGGCGGCTCCGTAGGAGATGCCTTCAAGACCAGTGTTGCAGAGCCTTTGGGTTTGTCTCGAACATTTTGGGATCCGCCCAAAGACGACCCAAACGCCAACATTGTTGATCTCGCCCCGTCCGCGATCAAGTCGTTGATAGGCTATCCTTTTCAAGAGGGAATAGCCTCATATACCCCGTGAGACCAATTACCAGCACTCGACAGCTTACACTGTTTACTTCCTTCGTGAAGCTGACCAGTTTCTGCAGGACCGGCGGCGTATATTCTTCCTTGGGCGACCTTTCCGCCATCGGCCGCTCCATCCTCGCATCGTCCATCCTACCCCAAGCAACAACCCGCGAATGGCTTCGACCGGTAACGCATACCCAGCACACCCACAGTGCCGTCGGAAGACCGTGGGAAATCACTCGGATGGACGTCGCCGCAGTTCCCGGCTCAAAGCACACTCGGCTCGTGGATCTGTACACCAAGAACGGCGGCATCGGGGCCTACTTGACCTACCTCATCCTCTCGCCCGACCACAACATCGGCTTCACGCTCTTGGTGGCTTCTGAGACCGCCTACGGCGATGGCATACCCGATTCTACGTTCGACGTCCTCAGCGAGTTGCTCTTGGAGAAGTGGATCCCCGCTGCCGAGGCCGCGGGCCGGGAGGCGGCGGGTGAGGACCTTGCTGGCACTTATGTGGCCGACGACGGATCGGACTCCCGGGCCGAGTTGTCGCTCGTCTCCGGAAGATTTGGCCTCACACTTAAGAAACTAGTGCTCAATGGCACGGACTTCTTTTCAGAGGTGGGCAAGAAACTTGGTTTTCAGGGCGCCGATCTACAGTTCGTAGGACTTCAAGATCAGGGTGAAGTCGCGTTCCGAGCCGTGTTCTCGAATCCTGATGCGGCGCCGTCGGGTCGGGAGCCCATACTGGGAAAGAAGTGCGGATCGACATGGGGAGGTGCTGGATCGCTTACATATGGCAACATTGCTATAGATGAGGTTGTTTTCACTGTGGGTGGTGACGGGAAGGCAACCAGTGTAAACTTCCCGGCACTGCGCGTGAAGTTCATAAAGGAATCGAGCAAGACATCGGTCAGAGTGGAAGAGAATATTGTCTTTGAAGAATTATGATTCAATCAATATTCTTAGGGTATTATACTCAAAGTCAAGACACCTGATGGTTCTATTTACATGGAGCTCATATTTCAAAGCCCTCGGCCACCCCTATTCATCGATCTCATCAAATCTCATCAGCCTCTTTTCAAGCTCCACTACTCCACGCTTCCGATGCAACATCATGCCAAATGATAGAACAGTCCCCAAAGAAACAACCACTCTATGCGCGGTACTGGTTCCAGAAGCTGTACATGCGAGTCTGCTGGTTAGGAGTGAACTCCTCGTAGCAAGAGTCGTAAGAGTAGTCCATGTAGTTGTGGATGGGGTCAAGACCAGCCTGGCTAGGGCAGGAGTCACGGCCGGTAGGGCATCCGGTGGAGAAGCTGGCCTGGGCAGGGGTATCGGCGATGGAGTCACCTTCGCCGGTGCAGCCGCCCTGGAAGGTGTGGTAGAGACCGAACCAGTGGCCGACCTCGTGGGTGACGGTCTTGCCGAGGTTGTAGTTGGTCTCGCTGCCGCCGGGCACGGTGGAGGAGAGAATGGTGCAGCCGTCGCGGATGTAGGCGGTGGAGCCGGCGGCGGCGGTGGTGGGGAAGTAGCAGTACCCAAAGTCGCCGCCGAGGGTGCGGACGAAGTAGAGGTTGAGGTCCTTGTAGGTACCCTTGCGGAGGGCGCGCTTCATGGCCATCTCGTCACCATCCTGGGCCCAGTTGGCGTTGATGGTGCGGGTGGTCTCAACCAGGGTGTAGCTAATGCCGTGGGGGGCAAAGTCACTGTTCATGACGGCCAGCTGGTCAGCCAGCATCTTGTCCTGTTGAAACTGTTAGACATTGACATTACAAGCGTAAGGTATCATGTCGATACTCACGGTGATGTAGCCGTTTGCCACGGTCTGGGAAGAAGCAACAACGTGGAAGTAGACATTGACGTTGATGGTGGCCGCCGCCATCAGGCTCATGGTGCCATTGTTGGCAGCCTCCTCCTCGGCAAGCTTCTTGGAGATCTCAATGTGCTCAGGGGTAGGATCATGAGTACCGCAGCCGAGACGGGCGGGGGTAACGGCGGCCGAAGCGGCGGCGGCAAGGGCCGCAACGACAGAAAGCTTGAACTGCATGATGAAGAGCTAGACCGATTGGATCGAGGCTTGGACAAGGGGACCAGGACTTGATAGAGCTGAGAGGGATGGGGAGCAAGAGAGAAGAAGGACCTTGGGGGATTGACAATACATATATACTCGGAGGCATTCTCTCGAGCGTGCCTCGATATTTCTCGTTCCAATCAATGATACATGGTAATGGGTTCGGGAGTCAGTCGGGAGCTAAGATGTTTGCGACCTTCCGGATCAGTTCAAGGCAACCTTTGGCTCTGTCAGTTAAAGCAAGCCTGGAAGAAGACAAGTTCTGAGATGAAGAAAAACTGGATGCGCGGGAATGAAGGCCATGGGGTAAGCTAGAATGCCTTCCTCATCGAGGTTGACCTGAGAATTTCAATATGGGCGAAGGGCCACTCAACGGGGCCGGGCACGGCGTGGACAGCGGGATTGAACCACCTGGGGAAAGACTTGTGGTTCTGATTCGTGGACTCTGAAATACGACGAGCTTGGCATGTCAAAAGCCATATGGAGCTGAGCTGAGGATTTGAGGCGATGCTTGATGCCCCCTCGAGTCCTGGTTGGGTAGCGTTGGATGCACGGGTTGCATGAGTCGGAAGAGACCGAGAAGCACTGGAACACGAAAGAGCACTCGCACAAGTTCCCATCATCCCCAGGGCCGATAAGAGATCCGATGATCTCGGTACATCGATGGGCCACAGTCCAGCGAGACCGGACGGTCCTTGACTCCCTTCGGAGATGAAGTTGAGAGGGCGAGTAAGCTTTGAAAGCCGGCGCTAGCGGGGTGCGGTGGTATCGCGACATTAAACGCTCCGTTTAACGTGCATGCCAAGCTCTCGCCAAGGCGGCCAACCATCCAACCAGGGCAGCACCGCTCAACCTCCCTATTTGGGCTTAATCAAGTATTTGATCGCTTCTACTGTGTAGGAGTTGACTCAGTTGAGACACTCTTGCCCAACAAACTTCTCTAGTGTTTGTTGTGGCGGACTGCCTACTGTCGACGATGAGAAGCTGTCTTGGCCCTTGGGTCGCCTTGAGCAAATGGAGGGTTCTTGAGCAGCATCCACCACGACGATCTGCCTCGCAGACAGCAAAGCCAAAGAGATATGTGATGTCAGAACAACCTTCTGTTTTCGTCGAGGGACTTTTGAGAAGAAACGGGGCATCGGTGTATGGAGGTGGGTTGCACAGACAAGCCAGAGTCTTGGCTTTACCAAGTCAATGCACTATTGGCAAGCATGGCCAGGACGGGCAACTGAAGTAGTCGAGAATTGATTGATCGGCAGAACTTTGCCCACCACCTCCTTGCTGATGGCCCAGCACTATGGCCTCGTCGTCCACGAGCTTTTGAGTAATGATGACGGAGGGAACCGCCGCAAATGGCCTCCCAGAGCTTCGAGCTTTCCATACGAGAGAGCGATCACACGAGGGGTGCATAACTTGACTCGCTGGATGCTGACTGGCTACCGACCAGGTTGTTTCTCAACGATTCGGTATTCTTGACTCCCTTCGAGAGACTAAGCTATGGCACAAAGTCCAGTTGGATTCCAAGCAAGAATTTCAGGCTTTGCACATACTGAAAGAAAGGTCGAGAGGCCGCCTCAGGCGCTTTCCCCTTGGGCTTGTCAGAATTTGGCTGTTCCTCTGCCGCTGACGAGCCCAGGTAGAGCCAGAGAACTTCCCAAGCAACGTTAGGCCTAGTAGCAGCAGTGAAGATGCCTATTCCATTAATTCCAGTCATCGAGAGTCTTTTCAGACTGATGTGAACGACGGTCAGGCTGGCTTCACGGGATTATCCGCGGTCGTGAAAAGGAAAGATTGGACGAAGAGCAGGAACGGGCCAGGGTCGGAGTAGGTAAGCTTAATTTTCGGCCCGGCTCATCTCACCACCTCACCGTCGCTGGTCAAGGTGTACGGAGTAGGTACCGGTATCGAGGTGAGGACTCGGCAGACAAGGTGTGTCACGGTGAAAATCCAGCCACAGAAGCACAGGCCAGCCGGGAGTACCCCTCCACCACGTGAGTGCGCAGCTGTGGCGCTGGGGATTTCGCGTCGCTGCCTGTTGGAGAGGCGCGCCGCGCGACGGCCACTTAAACCCCAACGCCAACGGCGGGCACCCACTACCTTACTGAACTCCTCTCTCCAATTCAAGCAGCTATCTGAGTACCTTGCTCGATACTAAGGTACAGTAGACTCTCGGTCGATCAGCCAGTCTCACCACTGCTTAGAGTCGGCCTGGGACTGACCCATTGGTCCGCTCGACATCATGCCCGACTTTACAGGTAATCCATCCTTCTCACCCCTCCTCCCCCCGACTACATACCGCCAGACAGCTCTAACACACGTATAGAAGCGGACACTATTCGCATTTTGGTTGCCACAGACAACCATGTCGGCTATGAGGAGCGAGACCCGATTCGTAAGGACGATAGCTGGAAAACGTTCGACGAGATTCTGAATCTCGCCAAGAGTCAAGATGTACGCAGATACCTCGCTCCAAAGTGGTGCTTCGCCGGCTGACAAGGAGCATAGGTCGACATGGTGCTATTAGGCGGCGACCTCTTTCACGATAATAAGCCATCCCGAAAGTCCATGTATCAGGTCATGCGCAGTCTTCGCAAGAACTGCTTAGGCATGAAGCCCTGCGAGCTCGAGTTCCTAAGCGATGCGAACGAAGTCTTTGAGGGTGCGTTTCCTCACGTCAACTACGAAGACCCTGATATCAACATCTCCATACCCGTCTTTTCGATTCACGGAAACCACGACGATCCGAGCGGCGAGGGCCACTTCTGCTCTCTGGACTTGCTCCAGGTCGCTGGGTTAGTCAACTACTTTGGTCGCATTGCCGAGGCCGACAACATTGAGGCCAAGCCGGTATTACTGCAAAAGGGTCAGACCAAGCTTGCGCTATTCGGCTTGAGCAATGTTCGTGACGAGCGCATGTTCCGAACATTCAGGGATCACAAGGTCAAGTGGTTCCGCCCAGGTGTCCAGCAGTCAGACTGGTTCAACCTGCTCACTGTACATCAAAACCACCACGCACATACCGCAACATCATATCTTCCCGAGAATGTGCTACCCGACTGGATGGATCTTGTAGTCTGGGGCCACGAGCACGAGTGCTTGATTGACCCTCAGCAGAACCCGGAAACCGGCTTCCACGTCATGCAACCCGGCTCCTCGGTAGCGACATCTCTAGTCCCTGGTGAGGCGGTGCCAAAGCACGTGGCGATTTTGAACGTCACAGGCAGAGAGTTCAAGGTTGAAAAATTACCATTGAAGACCGTACGCCCATTCATTACGAAGGAGATCCAATTATCGACCGATGCGCGGTTTAAGGGGCTGCACACGAAGAAAGAAAACAGACAGGAGTTAACCAAGAGACTGATGGTAGTCGTAGACGAGATGATCCAAGAGGCGAATGAGGAGTGGTTCGCTGTCCAAGAGAATGACGAGGAGGAACCTCCACTGCCCTTGATCCGCCTCAAAGTGGAGTATACAGCTCCGGAGGGTGGTCAGTACGACTGCGAGAATCCCCAGCGGTTCTCAAATAGGTTCATCGGCAAGGTGGCAAACACCAATGATGTCGTGTACTTCCACCGCAAGAAGGCTGGTGCCACAAGTGAGCTGCTATGTTTCCTAAAATCCGGTTTACTGATACTAATGCTCTCCAGGACGAACTAAAGACACAGACATTCCGGAGGCTCTCGAGGAAACACTGGGTCTGGACACCATCAAAGTGGAGGCCCTCGTCCAGGAGTTTCTCGCAGCCCAGTCTCTGAAGATCCTGCCAACGGCACCCTTCGGCGATGCCGTCAACCAGTTCGTCAACAAGGACGACAAGCACGCGATGGAGGAGTTCGTTAGCGAATCGTTGGCCGGCCAGGTGAAGCAAATGCTCCACCTTGACTCTGATGAGGATGACTTGGATGTTGCGATGGAGGCGTATCGGGCGAAGCTCGAAGAGGCTTTCTCCAAGGGAGCCCTGAAGAAGGCTTCCAGGCGTACTGTCAAACCGAAGCCAGACGAGTGGGACTCCGACCTTGATGGACACTGGGAGGATCAGCCTGGAGTGGTTGAGACCGAGGCTGTCGCTCAGCCTACAGCCAAGTCACGAAGGACTGCGACCCAGGATGATGAGGATGACCTGATGGACGAGGACGAACCCCCCGCCCGTCAAGCACCTGCAAAGAAAGCAACGGCCACTCGAGCAACGAAAGCTGCCCCAGCAAAGAAAGCCCCAGCCAAGAAAGCTCCAGCCAAGAAGCCGCCCGCGCGAGGTCGCAAGAAGCCTGTCTTTGAGGAAGAATCCGAGGAAGAGGACGTGGTGATGGACGACGACTTTGAAGAGCCGCCGCCGCCGCCGCCGACTACTCGGGGAAAGCGATCTCAGCCTGCACGTGCGGCCCCGAAGACTACCCGGCAGACTAAGCTCAACTTCTCGCAGGCTACCGCCTCTCAAGCCGCTGTCGAGATCAGCGATGATGAGATTTCGGACGAGGATGCGTTCGAGCCGGCGCCGACCACCACCCGCAGCAGACGGAGATAGTTTCTGAGATCATGAAAGAGTTCGGTGTGATGTAATGGAAAAGTTGCCGAGACTTTTTTGATGGTCTCTCTTGCATGGTCAGCCACTTGGAGTCAGGGAGCGGGATTTAGCTTTGACTTAGATCGATGAACCAAGATACCCCTCGCCAATGAGAAAAGTTTACCTCCAATTGTACGTTTCTCGTTGAAGTTGTATATCGTTTGCCTCGTGCCTTGTTATGTCTGTCTTTTTTTGTGTAACCTTTGTCCGCAAAATGATGCAGCTTCGGTTTGCGCGAAGACCTGAAATTCTCAAGTACGTGGACAGGAGTACTATCCGGCCAAGGATTGAGCTTGACTTGCCATGAGGCTATCATAGCAGCCGCCCTTCATCCCGCAGACTGATTCCTAGGTGATGCTTCCTCGCCCGAGGTTTCGAGGATTCCAGCGTTATCTAAATCGTCACGTTAGCCAGATCCAAATTCAGATGCTACTGCAATGACAACAGCATACAGGACCTGCGTTTCTGAACGTATCTGACTGGTATACGTTCGACAATAGCATCGAAATACGTCCTCAGTCTTCACTCATTGGTCACAAAATTGATAGTCGAACAACGCCTTCCGCCTAGCCCCAGACGAGTGGTCCCCTTCTCCTGCCGTAGCCCAGCCGACTTACAGACGTACGCCAATGGAGGTGATTTTCCGTCACCAATAGAGTTATCTAACAAGGATGACTTCAATTGTTCAGATATCTGTCTTCTGGCTCTTCTAAACTAAGTTGAAGTCCATTGAGTGCAGTTGGGTCCAAGGACACACATGAACGCCCTCACAAGATGGATATCCTCATGCGTCTCTGGAGATTATCTGTTGATGACCCGAGTGCGTGGCTTCGATTGTTAGGCTACTACACAACACTGCTTTTGATCTGCCTCGACCTCTTCGTTCTCTTTCTGTGGTGTATCACAAGCGAATACCCGTCCAGAGACGTTCAGAGAAGCCTGTGTCTTGATGATGGCCTTGATGATGGCAGTAGTGCCATGGAGCCTGGCCAGGCACATAGACGTTCTGACGGGCCAACTCCACCGTGCACACTACATATGGACATCTTCCACCCAAATGTCTCTTAATTTGATGAAGCAAGGAACCAACCCACGATGAAGTCCT